AAACAATACTAAAATCACTCACAATTTCAGCGAAGTACGAAAATAAGTAGAATAAGTCACCACTCACAAGAGTAGAGAAATGTATGGTTATCGTCTACTGTTAGAAAACTCATTGAAATAGTTGCAGAAAACCACGTAGGGACAACAGGGAACTCCAGAAATGATTAATTCTCAACATGGCACTTTAAAATTAATGCACTATAAGTTGCACAAATTGTTTTCCAATTAATGCACATTAGTAAAACAACATATTTTTTTCAATGGCAGAAAGTGAAAGACTTAAAGAAATTCTTTAGGGGAAAAAACGAAGGTGCTTGAATTAATTTTAAAACTACCCTATGACATACTCAGAACTACATTCATTACTATTGTCCAGGTTTAAGTAAAATATTCGTGGCAGTTTTCTCTGTAGTGGCTTGTAAAATCTATAATCAATAATAATAAGGCTGGAGACACGTTATAAGTATGCTGTAATAAAACGAAGCACTTCCGAATGCCTTACAACTGCTCTACAACCTTTGCAGGAGTTTGTTTAGTGTCTGTGCATAGATTTTGGCGCAGAATGCCTAACCATTTTTGCTGTAGGCTTCGGTGCTTGAATTGCTTCGAAGAGAAACTTGGCCAATGGCGATGAAAAACTGATAAAATCTCTCCTTCTCTTTCAAGTATCAACATAAGGATAGTCCTATGACCTGGGCAGGAGTTTTTCAGTAGGTTTGCCCAGGTTTGAATAAAATATTTATAACCATTTTTTCTGTAGGCTTGTGAAACAAGAATAATGTGAATAATAATAATATATTAAAAACAAAAGGATGAATTTTGAATTTTGTCTAACAATCGGAAAATCAGCTTTTTTGCAATTATCAATATTTTAGCAGTCTTAGCCATTAAGATAGAAGGACTTGAGTGTTGTTTCAAGAACAAGTCTGCTTTTTAAAATAGTTTTGCCCATGTCTTCTATCAGACTGTTTGTGAAATTCCTGGGCGATTCACATTATGAACCACCATAATGGTTTATGATACAAAATTAAATACTATAAAAAATTACTTTCAATTAAGAAAAACTGACTAAACTAAGACCAACTTAATAGAAGGTTATACATAGGATTAATTATTTAGGTAATTATCATAATTATATACATTCATGAAAAATTTGTGTTTCAGAATTTCGCGCAAAACTCCACAAGGACTAGTTGCGCATAGTTGTCCCTAATTTTGAACTGATAAACGAGAGTCTACACTACCTACTACTAAATATTTGGCTACTCTTATCTAATCGAATAGTTGGATTTGACCACCACTCTTATAGTGCACCCAGAGCCATAAAGTATGGAGCACGGTGTTGCGCAACGGATCGCGAACCATAAATCTCTGGGTTCACATTCCGTGTACGCTAACCACTAGACTACCATCATGTTTTGAGTATAAACGTTAGTTGCATCAGATTATGCCATCTTCTCAATCTTGAGTTATTAAAGTATTCAATAGATATAACGAGAAATCTGGTATACAAAGCATTTTTAAAGAAGCGAATTAACTTATACCAAATGTAATATTCTTCCGCATTTGTCATTTTTGGCATATATATACTAAATTTGTAACAGGAAGGACTTCTTCTTATCGTAATGAATTTCGGGTTTTCGCTTTCGCCGAAATATTTGTTTCTTGTTTGTTTCTTTGTAATTGAGCACAAAGCTACGCAATGGGCTATCTGTGCTCTGGCCACCACGGGTATCGAAACCCGGTTTCTATCGTTGTAAGTCCGAAGACATATCGCTGTGCCACTGGGGGCTCGCCGAAGTAATTAACTTAGTGTTATGATATTATTTCAGCTGTAGTACTGTGATTTGTTTTCAAGCTTAGAGTTCATATTACTGCTTAACGAAAAATCTAGACAATGTATTATATAGTCCAATTTATTTTGAAAGAAAAATCAAGATCTTACTAAGCAGTCATTTAGAAACTTACTTTTGTTTTTAATGGGAAAAAACGCATGTAGATTAGATATAACTTTATCTATTACATGATACAAAATTGCATTATTTTTGTTCAGTGCATCAAAACTTCTTAGTTTCCAAACGGACAGATTTATTGCATCACGTACTTGTAGGAGCTTACCTGCCAGTACTGAGTGATTGTTGTGAAGCCGACTATGTAATATGACAGATCACATGTGATATCAGTGCACGTGTCTTCTCTTCTGACTGCTTCTACCTATATCTTAGTTCCCAGATTATTTTTTTGAGTTGGTTCCAGTCAACGTCTAAGTACAACAATATTACCACATCGCTGATCAACAGATAATGCTCACAACATTATAATGTTAATATTCTACACTAATGTACATCAGATGCCGAAAAATAAATAACATGAAATATAAATATGATAGAAAAAGTTTCCATATTTAATTTTTGTTATATCTCTTGATAATCAATAATAACGTGAAAAAATTATATATATATATACTTCAGTTACTGGTTTATTCTGATGTTATTAAGCATTAATTTTGATTATTACCCAGACAATAGACCAATAAAACTGGAAGATTGTAGTCGTTCAAATGTTGCTGTTCCAGCCATTTATTTAGTGGGTTAAGGTAAAAGTTTCCACATTGAATGAAGATAATACCCATACAAGTAACTTATCTCTGCAAAGACGAGAAATAATGTCGCTCACTTCCACTTTGAGGTTATGTTCACTCCACGAACTAACTTAATTCCTAGTTTAACACTGTAAAAGTTGGAGTTAGTAAATTAGTGAAGGAATTATTTATTTCACGTGATTTATATACTTGCAAGTGTTTACATTAGAGACAATGGAGACGGTGATAAATTGGAGTACCAACCATGGAAACTTATTTGTCAAACTACCCTCACTAACAGTTTATGATATGTTTGTATATGCATATCTATATGAAGTTCATTAATTATGATATTTTGGCTATTGGACAACGCCTGATGTATACAATAAGTAAATATTGATTTAATTTTATTGTATTGTCGTGATACTTACAAAACAATTAAAGTTTACATTTTGGGTTTACTGATTCAGTGTGTTGAAACGACAACACTGCAGACAATACGAAGCCTATTTTGCTGTACTATAGACGTAGAGCTACAGTAGGTTGCATTTGTCATTATCCCTTTTCCTGTAAAAATAACTTTAGTGATTTTTGTTTTACACAATCAAGGAAACAAAATTCTAACAGGCGAGTTTGGCATTCTTTGTTATTTTTAATCTTTTGCGTAGATGTAAATTATGAAAATAACATATCTCACAATTTGTGTTTGCTTTGAAACATAAAATTCATCACGTTCCCATCATATTCTGTCTCTGTACTACAACTAATTGTATTATATATATTATTACGGGTAAGCAGATCTGTTCAGCCAGAAATGGCTGCTACTAGTATCTGATAACTTTATTGTATTATATATATTATTACGGGTAAGCAGATCTGTTCAGCCAGAAATGGCTGCTACTAGTATCTGATAACTTTTACCTAAGGCATACCTTACACTAATAACATTCACACTACCCGAATAATACTGGAATTGAGACTCTCTCAAATAGCCTAAGAAATAGACTATTTTTATATAGAAATAATTTTGTGTTAATGTAATTACATCCAGCTGGTGAAAAACCAAAATTTTCCCACTTCAATTAGCATATATTCCGTTTGTTATTCTTTATTTTTCTTGCATCATGTACTTCAACAAGTAACGTATAACTCTTCAAACAAACACTATTTAATTTGTTCTACAAGTAGAAGTCTTCAGATTTATTCCCATACAGTCAAACGTTATAGTTTAAAGCATAATCGTCTCTATGTTGAAATATGCGTATTATTGTTGTGAAAGTAAACATTATTTGATTCCTACAAACATTCACACAAACTAGAGATTGGACAGATTCGTGCTAAATCAAAAATAATAGTCTTAAGAATCTGGTTAATAGTTTTTATTCAAATACAAATTTCGATACGATATATATATATTTATATACTGTTACATATTACTAGACACTATTCGTGTTATTATGTATATATATATATATACACACACACACAAAGTAGGTTATTTCTCTTCTCTCTCGTTTACTACTGAGTAGTTTACAATATCAGGCAGGCGGTAGCACTACCTATGGCTCCGATTGTTCATCGAAATGATATATAAATATCTCCTCAACAGGTCATCAGAACTTTACAATAATATACAGTGTTTCTTTTTATAACAATATCTATGTAATGACTGAGTCACAAGTTCTGGGAATATCTGTAAATATCAAAGCAAAAAGGTTGAATTTCTTGTTCTTCTTTCTTCTGCTTCTTTTTTATTACATGGTAACCTCGAAAACCAGAACAATAGTGTCAACCACTTTTACTGACGTGACATAGTTTCAAACGGAGTATCCACTTTTAAAAATATTATTAACTAATACTAATTTTTAACAAAATCATAATTATAGTGTAAATGATGTTATCATTACCCCTTGAAGCTAGCTTTCTTACAGAAAGTACAGGATGAAACAGGAATTACAATAAATATTACAGTTGGAACCTCATTGTATTTAGGACTTGGTTATAAACACAACCTTCCTATGTTTATTGAAACACAGCATTAAAAACAACTAAAGAAAAAACGTTTCAAACAAGGAAGTAAATGTAAGGGTGGCTAATATCAATCCTTCAAAAATAATGCAAACAATATAAAAGGCAAGAATTGACATATAGCAATATATATAAATATTAAATCACAACTGAGTTTAATTTATCCAATTTTTGAATATTAACATTCTACTACACTGTGTGCCTGTGTTATTATGTAGAGATGATGCAAATGCCATTCCTACTATCTTGTTTGCATTGTTTTTGAAGGATTGATATTAGTCATCCATATGTTTACTTCCTTTCTTGGAAAGTTTTCTCTTTACTTGTATATAAATATAGATATGTATAAATTATGTAGAAATGATGTAAATGCCATTCCTACTATCTTGTTTGCTTTGTTTTTGAAGGATTGATATTAGCATCCATATGTTTACTTCCTTTCTTGGAAAGTTTTCTCTTTACGTGTATATAAATATAGATATGTATAAATTAATGAGTAAAATGTACAGTTGGTCCCTTCTAATGGCTTAAAATATTCCCTTTTTCTCTCTCCCTACTTCTAGTTCTTATGCCTTTTAAGAACATTTTTTTAATTTTCATTTTATAATATTTTCAAGAACAAACAACGTGATAATTTTCTATAATACGATGCAGCAACTAAGATATGTATGTTACTAAAAGGCTTAAGAAAATCGTAGCCTACTTTACATCTTTTGAGTTAAATTTAATTGAGAGCCTAACGTAGTATTAGCAGTCTCGTACTACGATTATACTACGACTGTTTTTATTGTTTTAGAATACATGGTAAGATTTTCATTTAACCATGATTGATTAGCATATATATATATGTATGTAAACTCCTAATTCATCAGACAGTATGTCCTCTGTTTAAATTGTGTATTTTTGTCACTATTTGTGTGTGTTTGTACTAAGTTGTTGTTCTAGTCATTCCAGAATTTTCATTCCATTTCAAATAAGCACCAGAAACTCCAATGACGGAATAATAATAACGGAAAATAGATGCAATTCGAACAAACTATATGAGCCACGTTTTCATCACTGAGAACTTTTTTCCGTTATTTATGTCATCAGAATGAATGTTTTACCTAGTTACTGTGTGTGTGTGTGTGTGTTGTTATTGCAAAGCCACTTTGGGCTATTTGCTGTGTCCACCAATGGAGATCGAACCCCTGATTTTAGCGCTGTAACTCCGAAGACTTACCGCCGTCCCATCGGGGGACATCTAGTTACTGGTTTGTGTGAAGCAACATTTACGTATCGCGTTATTTTCTGGTGAGACTTACACGTTTTCATAGTTGTCAATCGAAACAGATTTTCACGTAATAATATTCGTATAAAGAACAAAATTTCGGGAACAAAGTTAATTTTGGATCTATTTCATGTTCCTGTTTTTCGCCAAAATCACCGATTTCATTGATGAAATAAATCATCAATAAGGTTTACTTTTTTTGTTTGAGAAGAATATTCCATTCATGTATAGTTTCAGTTTTATCGATGTTTCCATTAGAGCACGTGCAAATTGTCACATGGTCGTGACTTCCGAAACAGCTTCCATAAAAGTCGTCCGAGAAAAAAACTTTTGTTCTTCTGCTTTAAAGAAGCATCTGCATTTGATTCCGACTTTTCGGGACAAATGGAATTTCTTTTCTTCTGATTTTGGTGTTTACGTTGATGTGTTAATCGAATCTGAGACAAAACCCCAACAAGAAGTTCATCCACATGGTAGTTGATACACGCTGACGTTTCGATAAATTTGCAGCCATAGTGTTGTGCTAGCTTTCGGCCCTCTGTTGACGGAAGAAACAATCAGTAGTTAATTTTACAAATACAACATCTGGTGCCAAAAAAGTATTACAACGGAAACATAACTTTGATAGTGTCTGAATACGAAACGATGAACTAGGAATGTTTGTGAATGAGCAGTACATACAATAAAGAACATAAATGCTTTAAAATATTATTTAGTCTGAATTTCTATATCATCAACAAGTGTTTTCCATATGACTGCAGTTTCCTGAACGCTGTAAAAGTGTAATTTTGGTTGTTGTTTTCTTACTTAATAAACTAAATAATTTAATCAATATTTGTTTTTAAATATGATGCTTAAAGAAAACTGTCAAAATGACATTTATCTTGAATGCTGAATCAGTTTGACAAATATTTAGAATGAGACTTTTAAAGTATTTTGTTAACACTTTAATACATTATAAGCAACTATTCAGCGATTTCAAGTTTAATTCTAACAGATTAAAATCAATGATTCTTCTCTTTAAGCCTGTAAATTTTGGCTAGAAATGCATGTGGCAATTATATTTATATATATATATATATATTGCCCACTCAAAAACCTCTATTATATATATATATCAAGGTCTAATACTAGAAACTATTAAACGCCCTCTTATTAAAAAGCAAGTAAATATGTGAAATATTAAATCGATTAAGTGAATACAATTCACAATTTTAAACGAAGATCGTTAAGTGAATGCTTTTAGACCTCTTTCTTTTTAAACAGACAAATGTAATGATACTAAAATGTATAAAAAATGTGACGTAAGATGAAAAATTTAAACCAAGTAATGAATACATTGAATGGTTACCGTTCATCAAAATAGTACTTTAAAATTAATAGTTTATAAACACACCAAATAACGAACATTTTATGAATAATTCTTTAAAAAAGAATAATACAAAACAAAAAGATTTTGTACACAAATATGCCATGTTTCCAAAAGTTCACTTAAACCTGCTTATAAATAATATAGTTGAAGACAATATAGGTTATAAATATCAGATACATAGCAATGTGACAGTAAAATATGCTTTAAATTACATGTAATACAAGCATAATTTTACTAATATGGTATGTTGTGCAAATGCTTTTAGCAAATATAAAAAAGAAAGTTGTATTGAAGATGGTGTAGTCATAGGAAGAAAATAGTTTAGAGTGATGTAACGTGAAAACCATGGATTTAGGCTTAACCCTGCTACCTAATTCAATTTGGCCTTGTGCTGTTCAATATATGATATGATTATTATTTTCGTATTACATTGTTGAAACTCTTACATAATAATTCTGACTTCAAAAATCTGATTTGTTGAATTAATTGTCAACCCCTTATCTAAATCACTGTATTTCTGGTGGTTGTGTTTTTGAAGTGAATATGTACTTTAACACTAGATAAGTCACATAAAAATTGAAATTCAACCGAGACATTTTAGACGAAAGCATTAGTTTTGCTAACTTTTAAATTTCCATAATCAACTACTTAAACGCAGTTCTAATAGTTTAAATATATGTGTAGCTACCCCTTCAATATTACTTACAAACAAGGTGATCTAAGGATCACTTCATATTGGTTGAGAGTTAAGGTCACTTAGAGCCACAGGCACAAGCCTCGTGAACACCCCAGTTTGTTTCTTTACTCTAAAATCTAAATCCCTGTCACGGTTTTTGTTTTTCAGTGACAAAGAATGCTTCAGTAATTTCTATGTAATGCACACTAACCCCAATAAACACTTAATACATACGAGATAATGCCTCAAATTAATAACACCTTTTTCAGCCTTTCGCCCAAAGGTTAAAAATAACATTCTTAACATGACTGAAAAATTAATGTTTAAACTTTTTGTGTGCAATTAAGCCTACTGCATTTGCTATAAAGATCTAAAAGTACTAAAACCGTACGTCAGTGACTGATTTGTTAGGCTTAATGACCGTTTGAATCGATTATATAGGTAAATTTAATACTACACTGTTTGCTTATTTTACATTTCCAACACACGTAGGTAATATTTTAGTAATAAAACTATGCTGAGCAAATAAAAACCGTAGACCAATTTTATTTTTATTGTATAGCTTTACTTAGATCATAGAAATCTAACAATTGATTCCAAGGATCTTGGGCATTTATCAATACTTCTCCAACTTTATACTTTTCGTAATTAAATTTGAATAAGTGATCCTAATATTTATATATTTGATTTAAGAAATGCGTAATTTTCTTGATTCATATGTAAGTATTTATTCCAATTCCCAAAATAACATTTTAATACAACGAAAAACATTCGGTGTTATGCAAAAGAAGATTAATGTTTCATGATAGCGCCCATTAATATGCTTCTGCCTGTTTAACTAGATAAACGAGAGAGGTTTCCATTATTGAAAACTAACAATTTGAAATAAATTCACTGTAAAATATGTGCAATCCAAAATAATCTTTACTCGGAGATATGTTTTAGAATTGAATCAACGACATTGCTTCAGAGTTCAAAATGATTAATTTGCCGGCGTTCTTTTATTGATTTTGCTTAAATACAAATAAATATCTTCTACTGTCTTCGCAGAAATTCATCATGCAAATAATGCTTACCATTTGTGGTGACTGAACGTAATCGAACCAGGTCCGTTTTGTTTCCCACTAGAATGATAGGCTTGCTCACGCTCTCTAATAGCTTGCTTAGAAAACATTTTGCATAACGAAAACTGGAACGATCTGCTACGGAATAGACGACGACGTAACAGTCCACAAAATGAATACTACTGGGTAACTGTGAGACGAAACAAACAGTTTACTATCACTACAGATTCTGTAAAATTCAATTTGTTGAAAACGTGCGCATTTACAAACCAATTCCATTGCATATTACTACCTGGAAAAAAGTTCCTTATAAAAAAACAGTTAATGAAATAAGTTGAAAAACATTTATATTTTTGTTCCATGCACAAAAGGATAAAACGTTTTCATTAATATATCGTATCACACTTCTGACTTAGATTGTGAAGCTTTAAAAATGTTCACAATTTTCTAATTAAAACATAAAACTTTATATATGTTGAGGCATTCTTTTTTGAACAATATGACATAGTACAAAAATCTAAAATGACACCTATTATTTAAATATGTCTCCTTTAACAAGTATATTTAATAAGTTAAGCCTAATTTCAGTTAAGCCTAAATAATATTTATTTGTTATTTTTAGTAGTCAAATTTGAGTCGTTTTCTTTTTCTCTCGAGAACATCTCAAGCTACTAGTCTGAATCTTTTCATTGCGAGTGATATTTTATATTTTTATACAACACTTTATAACGTTCAAAACTGACTAAAACCACGTTTATCTGTATCCTTAACTGCATTTCAGCAAACCAAAACAGTATCTTAAGAGGAAAAAATATAGTTGGCATTGCATCAAGCTAATCGAATTGTTGATCATAATTCTATGAACTAAAGTTTGATTTTTTCCAACCTCAAAAATTGCATTTCTGTCAGAAGTTTCGTTTAGACGAAAGAACCTTTTCAAACGTTTAAATATTATTTAAATAACAGACATTTCTATATACTGATACACTTTCCCCCTTTTTGTTTAAAATTACTGTTTTTCAAACATTACCAATTGTTGAAAGAAAAAACGTAATAATCATAGATATATATTTTTCATGCTTTTAAGTTACTTGGTGTTTTCTCTCCTCAACTTAGAACTACACTACTACTCGATATAATATGCTACAAACTATATTTTCATAAAATCACACGGGTTATTTGACACCCAGAGAAATGAGCTTACCTGATCTTCCACCAGGGTATGTTCGGTGAAAATTAAGTTAGATTCATCGTCGTTTAATACAACTGTCACTGACTTGTCATCTCCATCATCTAAAAGTAAACGAAAATGTATGATATAGAAGTTAATTTGTATTACATATATTTATGAAAGTGTGTTCAAGAGCAATATAGCTGATATTTATACCTTATGTAACATGCCTCCCCTTCCATCAGTGGCTCAGAGGTAAGTCAGCAGGCTTAAGGCGCTAAAAATACGATTTTGATACCCGTGTGGGCAGAGTACAGACAGCCCATTGTAGAGCTTTACACTTAACAAACAAATTATGCTACACATGGATTAAACAACCATGTCAGATTCAGATATAGCCATTTGTAATTTAAAATTGATGCCAATCAGAAATGCTAGCCGACTAAACAGCTACTTTTCATCCAATAGCTGTATTGATTGCACATTTATAACTGAGAATGTGGGTCATTTTTCAACGCCATATTGAGACTTGAGCCTTGGACTTTTTGATCCGTTGCCCGAAATACTAACCATTAGTTTCACCCCAACTCCAAAGTGGATAAAGGATTTTAGATAGTTTCGAAGAACTACAAAACTGACTAGTTTTCATTAGATTTAAACTCGCGTTGACTCAGTAGTAAGCGTGAGGGCTTATAAAACTAAAATTTCAGGTTAGATTCTGCGATTGGCATAGGTACAGCACAGATACCTCTTGTGCAACTTTCTAACTAACATAAAAATATTGGTTTAACAGGATTGCTACCTTTATAACACAAGCCTGCGATAGTTTTATTGTCTTGAAATGTTTATATGTACTACAGTAATTCCTGTACGCTGAATCCGAAAATGATATCCATTTTTCTTTATCACGTACAGATTTTTCACAGAATGTCATATGCACTTTTACATAAGTCAATCATTTTCATCGAAATTGGATCACATTTTGTTATGCTTAAAATGTTGACAACCACTGGCTATAGATTTCTCTAGACCAATCACAACGTGAGTCTTATCGATCGTTCTAGAACCCAAACATAATAATAAAAAAATTTTCATTGTAGTAAACGACATAATAATTTGATCTAAGTAAGAGTGTTTTTCCCCCGATTTGTAAAGAAATTCTTACCCAGTAGTAAAAAAAATTAATATTATTTTCTAAATCTGCGTAGCTGAATTATGAAAAACCCGTTATTAGAACCAAAACAACTTTTATGAAGTTTAAATTCGCAGGCCTGTGTAATCTGATTACATTACATGTTAAAATCATAACAGGCCAATGGTAAGATACTTCAACCAGTTGGTTTTATATTACTTGAACTGTTTAGTGTTTTCAAGAGAGAGAGAGAAAAAATTAACGAACGTAAGGCCATAATTAAAGGAGAAAACATTTCAAGTGAAACAGTGAATATAACCCTCCATCAACTTGACTTAAACTATGACAACGTAGTATATCTGCTTTCATAACAAGATGAGTAACTTTATCAATTTAAAATGATTATAATGCCTTCAGGAGACATTTCAAAACTCAGCTGCGGTTTGAAAACACGTCAAACTGGCTTGTTGAGTATCGTGACTCACGTAAGCTTATTCACTTCTACTTACTTTCCCATCTGATGATTCGTCATTTCTCAACTATTCCCTTCAACACATTAACCACAAAATAGTTGTGTTTATTCTTATTTTGCAATAAACAAATTACATGATTAAAACGAAAACAGGAAACGACATCGACATTTTGTATATCTTGGCTGTAATGATCTATTTTGGACAACATCAACAGATAGAGTCCAATCTATAACACCACAGCCAAGATCTACATAATGACGCCTCCTTTAATTGGCTTTATTTTCATATTTTTATGTCCTTTAACAAACAGAAAAGAAACTGAAAATCGTTCATATTTAATTAATATGTTTTTTCCCTTCCAAATAAGCTTCACAAGCGTACCTTTTGATATTTCGCAACACACTCATAACAATTTAATAAAGTAATCTTTCAGAGCGGAAACCATGTTTTTATTAGATATATATATGGGGGGGAGCATTAACGCACGTTTTCTAACTTGCACGTGAAGCTGTATTTGTTTGGTTGTTATAATAAAAAGTAATAAGCTCTTCGAATATTGCCTGGGAATGTTTCTTGTTTTTATTTTATATTTAATCTCGTATTATTGTGGTCTTGAAGGGATAAAAAATGTAAATTGCTTTCACTATACAGAAATACATTAAACTGATTGATAACTAACCAGTGACGTGGAAGATAAAATTATGTACACAAGACAGACACAACTGAAACGAATGTAGAAGATACATCGCCCTCTAAGTAACTTTTGACGAACTATCGACTTGGTTGAGTTACAGTTGATAACATATTTAGGACATTCATTAATGTCATGCATATGCTTGTTAAAAGATCGATAGCTAATCAGTTTTCACTTTTCTCTCTCCCAAGTAGACTCTAGCTTTCTGGCGACTGTGTTGAACATGATTCACACTAATCTGTACAACATTTCGTTATTAAAGCCAAAGTTCATAAGCAATAACTTATCACACCGAATCACAAAACAAGAGCCCGATTATCAGAGCGCTTTCAGAAAATGAACTTTCATTTTGAATTCGCAATAACTGATAAGGCTGATACGACATAATAATAAGTCACGAACATAAGACGCTTAATAGCAGTTTATGAAGAACATTCGTAACTGTTACCTGGAACAGTGAGAAGTACCATTTTCATAATAAAATATTTACATTAAACTTACTTGCAAAGAGAATTATAGTGTTTAGTGCTGAACAATGACACAAATATTTCTTAGTTTCATATTTAATTACATTTAGCCGTGAGAACCAAATATATTATAAAATAAAGAAAATTTATTCCTCGACTGTAAGCTTTAGAAAATAAATTCCTTTATTCTTAGCTTGTAGTTGGTTTGGGGTTTAAATGCGTTCTGCACTTCAATAATATCTGCATTAAATCAAAATTAATGAACATTTTAGCGAGGTAAAGACAAAATTAAGGCTTAAAATCTTAAATCGAGTCACTGTAGATTCTCTGTAAGTATCTTGGAAGGAATAAATATATTCTTTTGGTACTAATAGTAAAACAACAACATATGCGTTATTTTATTCTGATCCCGGGGGGACCGGCGGGCCGGTAGAGGGTTACGCCCTCTCGTCAGCCAAGCGACGAAAAAAGAGAAATGGTGAAAATGAATAATAGAAGGGTAAGCGTGCATACTAATAGTACACATATATTACTACAGCGGATTCATTTCTTATGGTATAGAACACATTAGCTGGCGAAGCATGGCATTTAGGGGTAATGTTTGTGTGATATTAAACCACAGTTAGACTGGAAATAATTTAAATCACTTTAATCTTTACTGATTCAATACAAATTTCCAGTAATATGAGCATTGAAACTAGTTTCCTCCTTCACTGGCTCAGTGGTAAGTCTCGAAGCTTATAACGCTAAAAACCTCATTTTGATACCCATGATTGGCACAACAAGGATAGCCCATTGTGTAGTTTTGAACTCAACAACAAATAAACAAAGCATTGAAACTATACCCTTATTATACACTCTATTTTCTATTATGATTGGAATTATAATCAGTTTTATTGTTGTGTAATACTACACACATATTACTACAGATTCAATTCTCACCTGTATAACATTCGTTCATTCTGTTTATTTTTAACAGTAAAGATTCTAAGTGGATCTTTAGAGGGTAGATAATAATCTACCTTTGTATTAAGTTTCTTTGATATTTGAAAGGGTTCAATGGGAAAACTCACTCTCAAACACGTATTACACCTAAAAGCATCCAACCCGAGCAAACAATATTAACTATACATTTTTAAAACTTGGGTGAAGGTTTCCGATAGAAAAAGACAGAATCTAATGTAATCTTATAATGGCGATTCGATAATAACGTGATAACTATATATATATATAATACGAAACGAAAATGAATAGGTATTACTAGCAAATGTTTAATAATTTTTTGTATGGTTAATATTAAGTTCCAAAATTATGGAATCAAACGGAGAAATGGAAGGGTGATTAGGAAATACGAAACGGCTGACACGATAGAGTAAAGGTTTATGACATCAAAACTTACCCATCAAACTGTCGTAGGTACATATGTACTCTGAAGTTGTAAACTGTTGAGCCAGAAGTGATTTGCCAACCTCAGAGCTTCCAATTACCAGCACTTTACAAGTAGCCCCGAAAAGTTCACTCATTCCGTCGGAGGAAGAATGAGCAGGTGTGGAGACACTGCAGAAGTTATCTTTGCCGTCAAAACTCAAATGAGATTGAGATCTATGTGGCGATAAATTGTACAAAGATGAGCGAAAAGAATCGCCTCGATTGACCACACCTTTGGATGTTATGGAAAAGTTACGTAGCCTTTGGTAGCAACCATCATCTCCAACAAGACTAGAGAACCTGGGATCCTGCAGCTTACTCACATCTGATGGGTAACTTGCTAATCTCGCCCGGAACAGTAACGTATCTGTTAAATTCCTGTTGATAAAGCGACAGGAATTCTGCATGGAATGGGATCGTTTGTTTTTCATATACTTCGTGTCCTTCACGTGAGGAACGTCCAGATTTCCTAGATGTTTATGGTGAACATGAGGATACTTTTCCATTGCAAAGGTTAGGGAACGTCTTTTTATCGTGCGGTAAGAAATGCAGGTGCACTATAAGGAATTTGAAAGGTCGTATGCAGTTCTTTAAATATTTTATACTGAGATTCAGAAACGGAAATTACAGCAGACTTGCGACTTTCGATTGAAACTGAAGTAAATATATATCAAAACATTTTTCGTTCCAAGTCTAACGGCTTCGAGCGATGTTGTGATTGTGTGTTGTGTACTAACTATTAAAGGCAGTCGATCGTATGAGATACAAAGTGACGAGAGAGCAGGTGGTAACTAGTCCGAGTTTACAACTGTGCACACGACCCTCTTCTAAGCACGATAGCTCGGTTGTTACCAATCAGGCCATCTGTTGAGATATAGCGTAGGAAGGTCCATGTTTCTTAGTCTCTTGTTTAAAAAAACGAAATTATAATATTTCTTGTTTTGTTTTTGAAGAATAACCATTGGGAACTAGAGTAAATTTTCTTGTTGCGTTTAGATAAGTTGTTTAATATGGGTGAGCTCTAAAATATTTTAAAAGTAACGTTTGTACGTTTCAAGTAATTTTAATTCTATACTTTTACATTTTAAACCAAAGCAGGATAGAATTGATTGTGGAATATAAAAAAAAAGAGTTTATTTCAAAACAGAATTTTTGAAATAAAAATACAAGGAGTTTCGATTGGGAAAAGATCTAGAAGGAAAATAATCGACATTGTTATTCACAGGAACTTCACTTTTAAGTCTGAAGTTTTAACCAAATGCAGATGTATGTGATCGTTCATAAGTGTCTAATTGTATGACATGATGACTTGTATACACTTTTCAAATAATGAGAGAACGCGTTATGACTTTAACATGATGACGTTCACAATGATAATTGACCTAGACGATCTTGATTGATTGATTGAAGGGACATTACAGAAAGCTAAATTAGATATAGTGTTTGTGGTCCATATACCGAGTTATTTATAATTTCAAAATAAAATAAAATAATTCAGAAGCATTCAAGCTTTATATCAAAAGTATCAGTGAGTTCATTGCTTATTTTTATTGTTGCAATTTTTTTCAAAATATAAATCCTTTAGTGGATTATTTTACATTACTAATACAAAAATAAAATCAATTGGAAATTACCTCCCAATTTACGGCTTAGTACCCTGTGCTGTAGGAAGTCTCGGTATAACTTCATACAAACGTAGGTATTTCATATATTAAAAAAATGATAGACTCAATATAGTTAGGCTTGTCTCATAAATAAATAAATACTTAACAATATGTACTATTTAAAGTGAATTGGTAATTACATAATCCTTAATATAATAAAGATGCTTCTTGTACTAAATTATTATAAGATTTTAGATTACACTCTTTACTATTTCTGTAATTTTTGAATTTAGGCTTAGTTATTTTTTCTATTGATTGTTATTTACCATAATTATCTATGTACTTATCTCCAATTATTTATCCCTCTTCTTTTTAATTCAAATCAATAAAATACTTTTGTAGAAGGTTTTTTAATTGTTTCGGTTTATTAATTGTACGTATTTGTTCCGGAAGTGTATTAAAAAGTTTGGCACCCACAAAATGCCTGCTGTTGTTCTTCTCCTAGGTAACTCATATAGACCCTTACTCCTCTTGAGTTACCAGAATGATCGAACCACTTTACCGGGTGTCTTCCATTATCCAATCTAATCAATGCACTTTTAAAAAACATCTTCTTAATATTTAATATAAACAGCTGCTTAAACAAAGGTCTAGACGGTTCCATTGATTTCTTTCTAAGCATTACCCTTTTTCTGCAGTATGGCTAACTGCATTTGTACAGAGTCAGCGGCCGCTCCCCAAGCTATAATTCCTTATTGTAAAATAGAGTCAACTAATCCATCGTATAATATCTTTAATTTATCTATCGGCAAAAATCCTCTGACTGATACAAATATGTATATTAACGTCCTAATTTTTTTAGTTAAATCTAGTATATGGGGCCTCCAATACAACCAGTTATCTATAGTGACTCCTAAGTATTTAACTTTATTTGTTCTATTCACTTTGGAGCAGTTACATTGTTGGGGTAGGATTGGGTACAGTTCTTTTCATGAATGCTGAGAACCGCGGGAGTTGGCTGGCCTGTATTATAGAACGAGAATGTCACATAATTTGTTGTTATAACGTTAAGTGATAGTGTGTTTATATCTAACCAGTATTTAATGTTGTTAAGTTCTCGCTCTGTAGTACCGAGGGTCTCCTCCCAGTTATCACCTGCACAAAGCAGGGCTATATCGTCAGCAAACGCAATTAACCGTCCGTCCAGTGCTCATCTGTATAGGTAATTTATAAATATTATTAAAAGGACCAATCCTAAGACTGCACCCCGAAGGATTGAATATTCTGAAGTAAACTGGTCGCTGACAATACTGTTTACTTTAACCACCCGAGTTCTGCTCTGTAGGTACCTTTTAAACCAATCTAGCATAACCCCTCTAACTCCTATATTGTACAGCTTAACTAACTATTTAGAGTGCGACACCGTATTGAAGGCTTTGACCAGGTCCAGGAACATGGCTTCCTACTCTTGTCCAGCTGGTCAGTAATGTATGTAGTTACTTCCGATATTGCATCTTGAGTATCTAAACCCTTCCGAAATCCATAATGATTACTTGATAATTTTCTATTATTTTTTCAAGAATTCTACTAATTTTTTTAAAACAGCCCCCCCCCCAAGACTTTAGCAAGATTTGACAATATTGAAATTAGCCTATAGTTGGACAGTAGTTTTGGATCACCACTTCTGTATACTGGGGCAATAACAGACATTTTTAATATATCAGGGAATACACCATTATTTATGCTTAAGTTCATTATGTGTTTTATAGGTTTAATTATATTCTCGATGTTATCTTAAAGTATTTTCACAGTAATGCCGTCGTGTCCTGGACCTGAGCTTCCACTGGCTCACTGTATGTTACCACACACCCCTCCAGTATCTGGCTATCACTAATCCCTTCCAGACCCTCCTCATCTATCCCTACCCTCTTACCTATTTTTATAACATCTCTTTCCCTACTGTTGTAAAATATTCCCCGAATATACTTGCTCCATGTTTTGGATTATCTATCAAGTTAATTTTATTCCCATTTTTTCCTATTAGTTAATTTGGTTATTGTTTTTAATGGCGCAGCTCGCTTATTAATTGCTAAATTTATTATTTTCCAAATGTTCTTTATGGTAGTATTATTTTCCGATATTATGTTACCATAATATCTATTTTTACTTGTTTGAATAAGCTATTTAGTTTGTTTAAATATTTTAAAAATAATTTTAGGTGTACGTTAATTGGTTGTTTGCAGGGTTTTTTTTACTTGATTTTTCTTCCCTTCTTATCGAAACCAGTAAACCATGGGTTATCCACGGCTGTATTTTTCGATACTTTGAGTTAGGAGCAGACTGTTAGTTGTTGAGTGGTTTGTAGCAAAGGTAACTTCATCACAGTAACCAAGTTATTTGTGCTAATATTTACATCATTTTCCATTAACACCTTATTCCATGTTTCTGTCTTGCGAATTTCATTCAGTCGTGAGAAATTAATTATTTTAGTTTTTACAATAGGGGTATTGGAGGTACGTACGTTAATTAATTATTTTAGTTTTTACAATAGGGGTATTGGTTTGTTTGTTTGTTTTGGAATTTCGCGCAAAGCTACACGAGGGCTATCTGCGCTAGCCGTCCCTAATTTAGCAGTGTAAGACTAGAGGGAAGGCAGCTAGTCATCACCGACCCACCGCCAACTCTTGGGCTACTCTTTTACCAACGAATAGTGGGAATTGAACCGTCAACATTATAACGCCCCCACGGCTGAAAGGGCGAGCATGTTTGGTGGGATGCGGATTCGAACCCGCGACCCTCAGATTGTGAGTCGAGCGCCTTATCCACCTGGCCATGCCGGGCACAGGGGTATTGGAGATACGTACATTAATGAATTATTTTAGTTTTTACAATAGGGGTTTTGGAGGTACGTACATTGGAAGTTTTGAAATCCATATGTACAAATGTAGAGTAATGATCCGTAACATTAGTTTTAAATACAATAGTTTTTGCCTGATTGTTCACGCAACCATTAATAAAAATATGGTCAATACACGACTTCAGATTATCACAGCCTCTAGTAAGAGTATTTACATACGAGACAAGTTTGTTTTCTACCAACATATTTAAGTATTCATTCTGCACCACTTGAAGGCCATCTTTAACATTATCGTAAATATATAATTATACATTTTAATTTCAGATACTTATTTATTAGTTCATGTAGCTCTTTGACAAACATATTTACTGTTCCATTTGGGGAACGATAGAGTGTTATTATTTTTGCTTGCCGTTCCTTTACATGTACAACCAAACATTTATAGTTGGTAAATTGCATTTCTTCTATTTTGATTTGAGAATTTAAACTGTCTTTAATATAAATCATTATTCCACTATTTTGATTAAAATTTAATAAAGTTCCAGTTGCAGTATATCCTGGAATATTAAATAACTGAATTGGCAAGTTATCTAACCAAGCTTCTGTTAGTATTATTATATCAAGATGTATTCTTATTTCTGTTAGCAACAAAATAAATTCATCGTAATTTTTCATTAAACTTCTAATATTCATGTGAATTACGGTAAAACCTTCCAATACTTTTTTACATAATTGATTAGAATAGCAAATATTATCAATTTCATAGTTTTCAATTACATTAAAATACTCTAAATTATTTATGACATCCTTATAAGTACATACATATTATACATAAAAAAATGTTTACCTAGTATATTACAATATTTAATTAAGTTGGTTGTTGTTCTGTTCTCTCCTGTGTCTGCCTTTGATTTAAAAGTTTTGAGTCAGCATGGGACCTGATTTGGAGTATTTTCTCCCCCTCCGCAGTCCTCACAAACAAACCCGCGCCCCTGGCCAACTGTTTTTTTTTTGATAGTAGTTTCTTTAATCCTGGACCCAGGTGCTCGTATATATAGACTAGTGTATCTGGAAAAATGGAATGGATGTTCTTAGCAGATAAACCTTTGTCTCTGACAGTCTTAATTCATTGCTGTATTTTTTCAGCCGGCTAGCTAGGAGTGATACGATTGATGGTGGACGTGA